TTCATTTTAGCAGCATCGAGCATTTATGCTACCATGCTACACTCTTAAAGTAACAGCACAGCCTGGGAGGTTAATACTAACATGGCATTTTCTCCTGCAGAACATTATACCGAGAATTGAAAAACCCATAAAACATCCCAGAAGTGAGAGTACACAGAAAACTGAGCAGAGCTGGTTGTTCTCATTCCCAAAGTCCATTTGATTTCCCCTCCTCCCCACACCCCCGAGAAAAAGGGTTTCTTTTATTCTAAAATACTGCTTCAGTGGTCCAGCCAAGGCTCACTGCTCTCTCCTGGTGAAAATCCAAGACATGGTTTGGATGAAAGTTGTAACAATAACCATGCCCTATTCATCTGTACCAAAGAGAGGAGGATTTCTTCTAGAAAGATGGAGGTTCCAATATAATTTTCTGGAAATGAACAGGCCTCCACTGAGGTATGAACACTTTTTTTTTTTTTTTTTTTTAAATAAAATCCCCCCCCAGCCACAGACAGCATTATTTGTTTTATAGAAACAAGGAGCCTTCTGTTCCTTGACCTCTCATGTTCTTTAAACAAATCACATTCCATTTTTGGAATAAGACCATATTCTAATAATAGTCCCAATTATCACTTACAAGGCACAATTACTGTCCTACCCATACTGCCAGGTAGTAATGGAGTTTTTTGCTGGTTTGTTTTGGTTTGTTTGGGGTTTTTTAAATAGGAACCACCAAATACATGCAAATCGCAATCTACATTCACTGAATAAATTGTAATGATGAGATACACAACTTGTGTAATTCTGAATTCCTAAGTGGAATTAACAATTTGTAATAAAAAAAGACAGATCTTTAGCTCTAAAAGTTCACAAAACTTAACTTAAAAATAATGCAATTTAATGCAGCAAAAAAGTTTTCTTCCTCAAGAGGTGAGCAATAATGAAAGCAAGGCATGATTTCTGATTGACATAAGGGTTGACGTAAGGGAACAAAGGTGTTCAACAGCACTGTTTTCTGCATTTGTCTGTATTCCATATCCAAAGCTTTAACTTTTAAGCCAATACCTTCTGAGCTTTTTCTCCTCTATCACCCAGGAACACAGTGGACATGAATAGTTCTCAGTCTCCACCGCCCTGCAAATTTGTCAAAGCTAGGAGTGTCCCCTGCTATAAACTGCCCTATGGCTACAGACACCGCACTGAGGTAACAGGTCAGCCTGAAGTCAGGGAGAAGTTCGCACAGACAATAAAGGTCTATTAATATCATCTCCACACAGCTCCTCTGAAACAACAAAAATGGGACAGCTTTGTTAACAGAAATAGGCAACCGTTACCTTTTAAACAACAGGCACGCTACTTGGCAACCTGATTCAGATTTTCTATGAGCGTATGAGGAAAAATGGGTCTGTGCTGCTTCAACCTTTGTATGTGAGTCGATGCAGTGAATCTCCAGACGGGCCAATATGAATCTTCTGAGCACTGCCTGCACGCTCAGCTGAGGCACATGCATTAACTCCCACACGGCCCTACACTTCGAAAGATTCAGGGGGAAGAAGATACAGAAATCACGATCTCCCTGCAGCCATCTAATTCTGCTCACAGACAAACATACCGCATATATAAACAATGAACACAGGCACAAATGGTCATGGAATACTTAAAAGGAAGCCTATAGGAATAATGAAGTAATTTAACATTCAAAATGACTTTAAATAGCTCACCTTCACTTTAGAAATAAAATGCTGGCAAAGCCTTTGTGAAGTAGATTTTATGAATTCTAACAGTTCAACAAAAGAGGCTTTGTCATAAATGCTTAGTAGATACAAATAAATTATTCATTAGTAGAACTCACATTTGGGTTTTATTATACTCCGTAAAATATACAGGAATCTTGAAGTACTGAAAGAGTGCAGGTAAATACAGTATTCAAGCAGTCACTATTTCTATGTACATGCTCATTAATTCTTCAAAAAACCCACAAAATTATCAAATAGATCAAAATATTGTCCCGTGTTTCCACACTATGTTCAGAAAACCAGCTGATAATTTACAATATCATAAAGATTTCCAGTTTCACAATACAAAAAGGATAAAAAGGAAATTGGAATCAGTTTGTAGTAATTTATTTGTATTTTACCAGGACACGCAAGGATTCCTTGCATGTACATAAACAAATTCACTTGAAAAGTAACAGTTATAGTTAAAGCAGAGCCAAATAAAGTAAATATTCATATTTAACAGACAAAATTTTAGCTTACTTATGTCAGTTTTTCATTCTTCAGGCAATTAAAAAAACCACAGTAGTCTGTTATAAATTAAAAAAAAAAATCTTCGGGCAAGTCTGAACTACATTACAGGGACCTGTTTCTGCTGTTTATTTTCTAAATGGAGCACAACAAAGATACACAGCTCTTCCCACAGACCAGACACTGTACTTTTTTTTCTAATAGGGAAATATACTTTTAAATCCACCTCCCTCCCCTTGTAACTTCAGGGTTTTTTTAAAAAAAAAAAAGTGATAGGGTTATACAATTTTAATCTTACATACAAATTTATGATGTAAGGAAGTGGACAAATTATTGAAAAGAATTCTCAATCACAACAGGGTTATCAAGACATTTCAGGTTTTTTATGCAGTTCCATAGTTTCCAAGTTACTCCTGTATTTTTAAATTAAAAAAATCTCAATCCCAACCCAAAAGTTAAAAAATCTAAAACTGTGCAACAATTACGGCTTCCCTCCCACATCTCCCACCCTTTCCCTTGTTTATTACACTGTACATTTTTCACCCTGACTTCACCTTGTTAGCTGGTTTAATTTTAGTATTATAAAAGTATGACAAGTTAATTTTCATTTCTCCTAAAAGAAAAAGGAAACAAAACTTAAAAGTACATCTTCTTTCTTTCATGGTACATTTAATAGTGTTGGAAGGCTTTCAGATGATAAAAAAAAAAAAAAAAAAAAACCAACATTTAAAACCAAATCTAAGCTTCTTTTCCAGAAGTAATTAAGGTTTGGTTAAAACAACTTCTCAAATAACCTATTCCAGTTTTCACAAAAAGGTATTTAATTAAAAAAATCTTTAAGTTATTTGGTCCTTTGGCAATTTGCAGCACAAACAATGCCTACTGTACCAAACTCATTTATTGCCTTCAAAATGGTTTTAATTTTATTGATAATATTTAAATCTAGCATCCTTTGTGTTGTACAATAGCGTTGTTCATTTACATCATGTAGGGTGCCCAGTCTGCAGAAACTACTCCTGGCACCAGAAACAGAATGGTAGAATACAGTTAAATAAAACAGTTTTGACATTCTTTTTTTGCCTTTTGTTTTTTTTTTTTTTGCCATGGATTCCAAGTACTTATTCAAGAATTTATGTTTCTTCTGCAAAATATGCTCTTAAAAATCCTCCCAGAGTCTCACATTTTTTTTTATATGCAACCACAATAAAAAACATCTTCTCAAAGGTCTGTCCTCTTTTTGCTTTCAAAACACTGAATGCTTTTTTTTTCAAAAGCACAAGTCTGACCTTCCAGCGTGAGGGTTCACTCTGTAGACCTACAAAATGTAGCTCCTAATAGGTCTCGGAATCTGAGTCATTGAGTTCATCTTCTTCTGTATATGGGTAGCCGTCTTCCCTGCCAATATTGTTGAAAGTACAGTAAGAGCTATGGTCACTCCTCATGATTGGCAAGGAATCGAAGGTGACAGTTTTTGAGGTGTTGGTGTAATGATTAATGGCATTGAACGTAAGGGAAGGTAATGTGCTGCTCGATGAAACAGGCATCATCGTGGCCAGAATGAGAGCTAGGCAATCAGCCACATCCTTATTGGGCGCACAGGCCAAAGCTGGTGTGTAACCTAGAAAGTCAAGAAAAACCCCAAAACCTTCATTTAAAATAAAGACAATGTAAAAATTTCACCAAGATCATGTCATCTTTCAGCTGCAAAAGTATTTTATATTGCTTAGTTCTGCACTGTTTAAAAAAAAAAACCACAAAATTAATGCATTATCAATTAGAATTTTTTAACTTTGGGTTACAAAAACAACCCAGAAGTTAGTGGGCTTTGGAACAGAGATGTAATCATTTTGTTAAGCACAGTCAGATACTCTACGCCAGCAAGAAAAGCCTGGATTTGAAAATGGTGAGGAAGTCACCTGGCTGAGAAGAGACAACTAATGGCAGCCAACAGTGATGGGAGAAGGCATTCACTAGAGAGCCACTGCAGAAACTACAGCTCAACATGTTAAATATTTCTTCATCCAGAAGCCCCTGTATAGCTGTTCATCACAGACAGTTATTTTCATGACTGTCCTGTCTCAATAATAAGCTGGCTAAAGCATCAGGGCCAGTTAATTGAAAAGGCAGAGCACAGAATTTGAATCAACCTATACTTTATTACAATATACAGTAATATAAACACCTTGTATTGGGTTTGTGTGGCAAGGTTTTGGTAGCGGCGGTGGGACTACAGGGGTGGCTTCTGTGAGAAGCTGCTAGAAGCT